TTTAAAGCGGAGAGTTACAAAGCAAACAAGAGAGATCTCTACGGATACAGCACTGACATTACAAGGCCGACATTAGATGATCCTTCAGCGTCGGCCACTTGCCTTGAGTATAGGTGTAGTGACTTGGTAAACGGAACATTCTCTGAAAATACATATATCACAATAAGGCCAATTTTAGGAAATTGTAAATTCGTGAATACAGGAAATGATTTCGATTTTCATCAAAACCAGTGTCCATATTCTTTGCCACCTCAGCAGGGGGTAAATCGTTCCATATGCGATGTTCCACTGCCATCTTCTACCTACCCCACGGTTTCTGGGTGGTATAACAGGCCGTATTATTCGTGGGGAGCCACAGAGAGCGACTGTAAGACGGGAAATCCAATATGGGGGTTGCTGTTTTCTAGTATGTTCTCCGAAGGTTATGCATTGCATTATAACTGTACTTAAATGGAAGAAATGGGCCGAATACAAACAGGGTCTGAAGGCTTGTTTAAGTCCTTTTTGACTTTTCAAGTTCATTCCAGGACACAATTCATATTCTTCAAGGATTCCAAAAATATATCATTAGAATGTCACTCTAGATTTCAGGGATACCTTAACCAAATTTGTTCAATTAAGACTAAATCTTTTACTTCGTGAGCAATATTTGTTCCGAACACTTTTTACAGTAATAATGGCTCTAAGCAAAATGCAGTTATGACTGTGAAATGTAATTATAGCTCGCGAGGAATTATTAATTTGTCTGTTTTTCAATATTTCTTTTGTCCAGTTTTCTTATTTTATTTTTTTAATCTACCGACCCACTAACTCTGACGAGAAAGAGGACGATGCCGTGGAAGGAAACTTTTTACAAGGGTCTCGTTAGGGTGTTGAAATCTCAGTCAGTGTCAGAGAGATTGTTGGCGATTTATCAACCATCAGTTAAAATTTCAGCCTATTTATCAGCTAACAGTAAATTTTGCAGATCTTAGATCTCTGGTATCAGTTTAAAACGCGTCACTTCACAGCTAACGGTTGAAAATTTCGCCAAAATGTCGGCTGTCAGTTATGTCCTTAACTCATGAAAACGGACAACTGACACTAACATACTGCGTACAGATAGGATAGAAACCTCTGGATAGCCATCAAATTCACAGCACGTAGCCGCGTTGAATGTTCTTTGCTGTAACTAGCTAATGTAACCATTTAGCTTTTTATAAAACTTGAAGTTGATAATGTACCTAGTTGTCGTCAACTAAGTGTCTTGTCTGTGGAGGCCCTTGATGAAGCTGACGTTTAGAGGGCCAGCCCTTCGTCAGGGCAAAGTATATAACCACTTATATAACTTACGAATTTATATAGAAGTGATTATAAGTTAGTACGTCAAACTGTCTGATTTGGGAAATAATTAATTTGGTGATCAAAATTCTGGGGAATACCAAATTCACTTCCGTCTACGTCACGAGATTAAGCCGGACGACGAGCCCGAACAAATTCAGGAAGCTAGACGATGTTTCTCAGTTCAATTGTTTCCCAAGTTAGAGTGCGCCATGCGCAATTTGAGAATTTGTCAATAGGATATTACATACGTAACACAACGTAACAGTATAGCACTGTGATTTTTTTTCCTGGGACGGCATCGATTT